TTACATTATTACAATTATTATTACATTATTGTGTAATTATAGTAAATAATTTTTGTTTTTGTTTTTCAAGACAGGGTTTCTCTGTGTAGCTTTGCGCCTTTCCTGGAACTCACTCTGTAGCCCAGGTTGGCTTTGAACTCACAGAGATCCGCCTGCCTCTGCCTCCCAAGTGCTGGGATTAAAGGTGTGTGCCACCACCGCCTGGCAGTAAATACATTTTCAAAATGCAATTTGGCAAACAAACAAAAATTGGAAAGAAGAAGAGAGGGAGGAGGAGGGAAAGGAGGAGAAGGCAGGGGCAGGGTGGGGGGTAAGGGGTTTGATCCCAGAACTCAGTTAAAATTAGAAATAAGATCTGATTCCCCAAAGTGGTACTTTGGCCTGTACATACATGCTGTGGCACACACACACCACCCCCATCTTTTATGCTCACACACACACATAATAATAATAAATGAAAATTTAAAAGGTTAAAAGGTTAAATAAAGTGTCAAGGTCAAGAATGTTGCTCTGTGTGGTGAAGGTCTGCAGCGGGCTGATCATGGCATCTGTAGGTAACGATGGAGTTTGGACATATACTTTAGTTACAGTTTTTTCAAACCCGCACCCCCCACTACTTCTTCACGGCTACTTGCGTTAACAGTCAGCCTTGATTCACTCTGTCATTTACACAACTTATCAGCAAGTCTGGTTCCACAGGCTGTACCCACTCACCCCTCCCACCTCCACAGACTCTGTGATGCAGAAGCCAGGAGCCAGGCAAGAACCTGCTCCTCCTGTGCAGTGCCTCGGCTGCCTGCCTGCTGGGCCCCAGGAAGCTAAGCAGCAGACAGCTGACCTCTGCCCCAGGACACCCCCTGCAGCTCTGCAGTCCTGCAGGCAGCGGGCTGGGACTGAACACCCTGCCATCACCAGTTTCTCAAATCCTCCCTTTTGGGGGTCTCCATATTCCTCTTTACATAGACAGGGGCTGGCATCCTTTGATCTGTTTTGGGGTGTCTTAACTCACTAGATTTTAGGTAAATTGAAGACTATGTGCTCCCATTTATTTATTTGCTCACTTAAAGTTTTCTTGAGGGGCTGTGTAGCTCAGGCTGTCCTCAAACTTGCAATCTTCCTTCTAGGGTCTTCCCAGCCCTAGAACTACAGACATTAAATGCTTAAAATAAAAAAAAAAACAAAAAAACTACTTTGAAATTACTGTGCTGAGCAACACACTTGAAAAGAATTACTCTTCTATTTACACTGGTGGCAAATGCCAGTTCTAACAGATTGTATAGCTCAATATCATATCCCTCGCCTGATGGGAGACCAATGTCCCCAGTTTCCACTGCTACACTGGTAGCCGGGTCTCAAAGATGGCTTTGCATGTATGCCTGTTATGTGTACATGTGTGTGAGTGTATGTTTGTGTGTGGGTGTTCTGGCACATTGAGGTCACAGGTATGTCAGGTTTCTTCCTCGATCACCCTACATCTCTCTCAATGAACCTGGAAGTCAGTTTTGACTAGGCTGGCTGGCCAGTGAGCGTCAGGGATGGATTGGCCTCTAAGTTCCGGGACTTACAGGCACTCGCTCATGGGCTCACCTGGCTTTTTATGTGGGGGCTGGGAGTCCACCCAGGTCCATGCACACAGAGCAGGCACTGTACTGACTGAGTCTCTCGGGGTTGCTCCTCGTAGACGGTTCAGACCATGCCAAAGCCAGTCTACCTGACTTACGTTAATCCCAGGAAGCCGCTTTAACTGTGAACGGTTTTAAAAGTGGCCTCCAACCTTTGAAGTAAGCCTAGCTTTCAGGAAAACATCTGTTCCATTTGGGGGGGGGGGATAGTTCACAAATCTATGCTTATTTTTAATGCCACAGCTACATTTACATGACATTATGCAATGGCCATCTGCCAAGAGAAACACGCTTTGGTATTAAACGCCAAGCACATTTGTATAATAACTCAATTATTAAATAGCAACGTTATTAACAGTTGCACGGTGAGCTGGAGAGGCGGCTCTGTGGGTAAGAGCACTTACCGCAAGCCTGGCATGGTGGTGCACGCTGCTAATTCCAGCACTTGTGAGGCTGATTCTACATAGAGAGTTCCAGAACAGCCAGGGCTACACAGAGAGACCCAGTCTCAAAAAGAAACAAAGGAGCAAACAGAGAAGAATACTCAACTGCTCTTGAAGAGGACTCAGGTTCCCAGTACCCACATTGGGGGTTCACAACCATGTCTAACTCTTGAAGAGGACTCAGGTTCCCAGTACCCACATAGGGGGTTCACAACCATCTCTAACTCCAGCTTCAGGGGATCTGGCCGTTGTAGAGTATTACTTTAAGATGTGTTTCATTTGTTTACGCTGTGGAACATTTGTTTAATGTTGTGAAATTGTACTGCATTCTTTTATGTTGCATTTGTTTAACTCTGTGAAGCTGTGCTACCGTGCCTGTCTAAAACGTGATTAGTCTAATAAAGAGCTGGACGGCCAATACCAAGGCAGGAGGAAGGATAGGTGGGACTGGCAGGCCAAGAGAAGAAATAGAGGAAAAGAGAGAAAGAGAGATCAAGGAGCAAGAGAAGAAGGATGCAAGGGGCTGGCCACACAGCGCCAGCCAGAGTAAGAGAAAGTAAGATTACAGAAGCTAAGAGGATAAAAGCCCAGAGGCAAAAGGTAGGTGGGTTAATTTAAGAAAAGCTGGCTAGAAACAAGCCAAGCTAAGGCTGGACATTCATAAGCAATAATAAGCCTCCAGTGTGTGATGTATTTGGGAGCTGGGTGACGGGCCCCCAAAAGAGTGAAAAAACAACAACATCCAGCACTCTCTTTTGGCCTCCACGGGCACGGCATACATGAAGGCAAAACAGTCACACACAAAAAGTAAAAATAAATTTTAAGACAACAAATGCACGGAAGCAAGCAGGCTTATTCTTTCCTATTTTGTCCCATTTGACGGTTTCTACTGCTCTAAAGTAAACAAAGCTCTTCCCTCACAGTGTTAACGATGGGACTGACATGAAAAGCAACCTCTCACCCATTAGTACTGCAACTGAACACAAACAAGAAAACAGTTCTCACTGAAAAAGAAATGCTTTAGGGTCCCGACCTCTCATTCATGGAAACCATTTTTGGATTTTATTCCACCCTATCTCTACGCAAAATAAATGTAACTGAAAGAAAAAAAAGCCACTAAATCTTCAGCCCTAAACACTTTGTAATTACAAATGGTGAAGGGATACTTAACGAGTCAGAAGTTAAGGGCTGTGAGGTTCAGTCACAGAACGGCTCCTTCCTTGAAGTGTGGAGGCTTAATTACAGGCTTCTGCTGGTGTGCCTCTGATTGCTCACCATCTTGGATGATCTGGACAGTTAAGAACTACAGGATGTAGTTCTTAACTGTTCACAGAGCAATTCACGTGTGCAGGAGGCGAGAGACGCCCAGCCCATGGTGCCACAGTGAGGTGTACCAGTGTCATGTGACCGATTCAGATCATTTGATCAGCCCATTTTCCCCAACAGTGTGCCACTCTTCCTAACCTACACACTAGCAAATTAGAAACCAATTAAATGGAGAAGCGCTAGGGTCAATTTTAAGGCAACAGAAACCTCCTCAAATACAATTTATAGCCATTTAAAAACAGAAAAATTAAAAAAAAATATTATTGGTATATGTGGAGCATATTTGTAACGGTGAACATTTGGAGATCAGAGGACAGCTTGAGGGAGTCGGTTCTCTCCCTTAAAAAAATTGTTTTTTAAAGATTTATGTGTATGAGTATTTTGCCTGCACTTATGTATGTATAATGCTTTGCACACTGGTTCCCACAGAGGTAAGAAGAGGGTGTCAGAGCCCCCTGGAACTGTTATGATGGATGGTATGAATGGTTATGAGCCGTCAAGTGGGTGCTGGGAACTGAACCCAGTCCTCTGCAAGAGCAACAAGCCCTCTTAACTCTGAGCCGTCTCCCAGACCCCAGCTCATTCCTGCCGCGTTGGTTCTGGGGACTGGACTCAGGAGCCCAGCTCATTCCTGCCGTGTTGGTTCTGGGGACTGGACTCAGGAGCCCAGCTCATTCCTGCCGCGTTGGTTCTGGGGACTGGACTCAGGTTGTCAGCCTTTACTCACTGCGCTATCTTGCTGGTTTGTAATTTCAAAACAATTAATTTGTGTGTGTGTGTGTGTGTGAACATGTGTGTCATGGTGGTTGTGTGGAGGTCGGAGGACAATAGGGCAGGAGCTGGTTCCCTCCTTGCCCCACGTTGGTCCCTGGGATTAAACTCAGGTCATTAGTGGCTTGACTCACTGAACCTCCCCTGTAGCTCTTCGTTACCAATGAAAAAGCAAAATATTACAAACAAAACACAAGTATATGATCTCCTTAATACTTCTGTCGAATGGTTAAAATAAAGCCAGAGCTAGCTACCTTTTCAATAGGATTTACTTCATTTACCTTGGTTGGGTACGTGGGGAGCCACATCCCCAGCCCACATAGTTCTAACAGGAGTTCCTACAACACGAGGGCATGTGTGGAAGAAACATCGATTCGAACGAACGTCCCACCGTTTGTAGCCATCACAAAGAGCTCTGGGGTCTAAAGCACAGACCAGTCAATAGTAACCCACACTCTCTTAGCCGAGGCTCTGCTCTTAGCTGAAATTTCTGAGTCTCGCTGTACTCACTGGAAATCAGGCACAGTTTCAGCCCATTCATCACCACTCAAGATCACAGAGCCTCATGGCACCACCGTTACTATGGTTTCACTTTCTGCTACAGGTTTGATCTGCTAGCCTGCTTGCTTCCTAGCACATGACTATCTCTTGATTTTTTTCAAAAGACAGGGTCCCATGCAGACCCGTGTAGCCTCGGCCTCTTGATTCTCTTGCCTCAGTTTCTCACCTGCCGAGGCTACGGGCATGTGTTCCCATGTCTAGCTTTGTGTCACGTTATTAAATGGTTAGTGCACTTCAGAGACTGAACTTTTATTATGAAAACATCCACAAGCTAAAATGGATATTTAAAATCTTTATTGTCTCATCATCAAAAGTTTTCTTTCTCTCCACAGCAGAATGGCAATGTCGTGTTGGTGCATATTCATGAAAAACTCGTAAGTAACTAGTCTAGAAACCAGAGATGGGACTATGAAGCCAGTGTCCTGGTCAGACACACAATGCTGCTGATAAAATTAGTACCCAGAAAGAACGCAGCTGTTAGAAAAGGAGTCTGTGGCCGCGCGTGCACGCGCGCGCACAGCATTGCGTTTGTGAAGGAACAGAAAATGGGGAAGGACCTGAGAAGGAGCCTCCCACTCCATCCTGATCACCGGCACAGCTCTGACCGTGTGTACACACACACCTCCATCAGCATTACCCAGTGAGCCACATTTGGTCTAACCCACAAATGGCACAGCCACACTGCTTCCCATCTCACAGCCAGTGGTAATCCAACATGGGTTAGGTCAAACAAAACAAAATCAAAACTGCAGCTTTGGGCATCTTTAAGTAAAAAAGCTGAACAAATTACGTATGTGGTCCCATTTTCCTTTTTGAGAAAACCCTAGAAAACAACAAAAGACAGTTGTCATGGTTACTCATTTTCAGCTAAAGGCAGAACACTTCTCTTTATATAAGCAGGCTGAAGAAACATACAAATGTCCTCACAAAATACTGTCGGATCAACGCGAACATTTTCATAACCAGCTCTTGAGTTACGTACTGAGAATCGAAGATGCGAAGGACCGCTACCGTTTGGTCATGCCTGGCCACTTTGGGAAGTTTTTGGTCGGGTTTGAGTTTGAAGCTGTGACACAGCTGGATTTGGCTACTCTGTATTAATTCATACAATAAATACCTTTACAACAGCAGATCTATCGTGATGAAACCAGACCTCAACTAAGAGGTATCAGGAAGCCTGTCTTAAGTGTTTTTGAAATACACACGCTCTAACCTCTGGGGACTGCTCCTCTCACGGTCCGAGTCCTATAACTGTCTGTCCCTGGATTACCTGCAAGACTAACAAGTCACTTGTGAATCGAGTCAAGGCCTTGAGGGGGAGGGGGCACTCTGAATGTATGGCGTAGCAATCGTTTTCCTAGTAGTCAAACATTTCTAGATGCTATTAAACTATATTTGAAAAGATCTCTGACAATATATACAATGTACAAAATAAGTTAAGAGGAGGAAGCGGGGGAGTTTTTGAGTATCTACAATGCAAACACACGACTGTCCCATGCATGTCCATGTCACCCTCCGAACCACAAGAGGCTGACAGAAGCTCAGACTTGTCACTTATAAACAGAAGCGGCATTCAAATGGCCGAATTTCAGCTTTGCTGCTTCCCACACAGCAACTCACTTGCTTTAACTGTAATACACACAGATATAAACTGTATCCCCAGACTTGTTTTACACTTGTACCTCAAAGTTTAACATAAATTCTAACGATTGAGGAGACAAGCACTCTTTTGTAGCAATTCCATAAAATAATTTTCAAGTCACAAAACACCTGTCTACTCATAAAACCAGCAACCCTTATGGAGGGCATGGGCAGTATTACTCGGCCCCCCTGAGGTATAAATGCAGCTGTCTGTGCACTGAGTAAATAGTGGATAAGGTATGTCAATGCTCTGGATGGTTGCATTCACCTGGGAGTGATGGCATCCTGACTGAATGGAAACTAACATATATATATATATATTTTTATAATGGAGATTAACTGATTTTTAGAGAAAATATGTACTTTAGCCCATAATACAGCCAGAAGTTCTGAATTCCTAAACCAATGCAAACGGTTATTACATCTTAAAAAGGTTTAACATTGCATACTGATTTAAAAACAACGGAATGGGGAAAACGTGTGGGTATTTTAGAATCAGCAGGACACCATGGAAAGCAGTCTAGAGAAGTGGGAAACCAGTGAAGCTTTTCCAAAAGAGAAAAATCCTTTTAATCCTTAGCAAGTCCCCGTGGAAACAGGAGGCGTACAAGAGTGAGAAGGGAGCACGTGGGACACCCCCGGGGACTCGCTACACAACTCAGCGTCCCGGTCCCCATCTCCCGGGCGCGGACGGCCAGCAGGCGACAGAAGTCCATGTGACAACAGTTCGCAGCTCTTCTCACCACTGCTGCCAGCTGAAGTCGTCGTTGCTCCCGAAGACCAGGAAGAAGCCCAGTATGGTGGCGAAGATGACTGTGTTTCCTGTGAGGACGAGTGCGCAGGCTCCCCACTTGATCTGCGGAAGGAAGGGAGCAACCGTCAGCCGGTGTGCAAGACAAGGGCCACGGGGGCCACGGGGGCCACGGGGGGCCACGCATCGCTCTGTGCACTGGCCAATCACCATCTGGCTTGTAATGGCCATCGAGGTACAACACTCAACAATCTCCTACAATGTTTTTATTTGCATTGATTGATTGAAAAGTAGAGAGTAAGGGGGGGGTGATCATTATTGCGGAACAAGCTTAGCTTTGATCATGACCGTCAGAGCTTCGTCTGGCTCTGTCTGCAGTGCTGAGGGTCCACCCCAGGGCCCTGTGCATTTAGGACACCCTGGCCCTGAGGTGGGTCCCTAGGCCCACACAGTATTCTACAGCTATGGCTTACAAAGGAAGCTGATTTTTCTTAGTGAGTCTAAGAATCTTGCTAGAGCAGAGACGGAACCGTAAGCGCCGGCAATGAAAACATACTGTGCTTTCTCTGAAAGGGGCAGAGTGCGGAACTGCCTCCATCACACCTGAAGTGTGGTTCTGCCCTTCTCTCAGGGGAGGAGGTGTGGCTCTGCTCTTCCTCCTCCTTCACACTTTCCCAGCTGCAGACAACAACTGACTCATACTTCCATGCTTTAGGTCAGTGGTTCTCAACCTGGGGGACAGGACACCTTGGAAGTTGTCCAACAGCCCTTTCAAATGGGTCGCCTATCAGCTAGCCAGCATATCAGACATTTATATTGCGATTCATAACAGCAGTAAAAAATTACAGTTAGGAAGTAGCAACGAAATAATGTTGTGGTTGGGGATCACCACAGCATGAGGAACTGTATTAAAGGGTAGCAGCATCAGAAGGTTGAGAAACACTGCTCAAGGTCTCACAGGGCAGGCCCACGGTGCCCAGCACTGGTGAGTTGGTTAAGGTGCCCTTTCTACTGCAGACCCAAGCCTTGCCCTCCAACAGTTTCACCCTGAGAGCTGAGGTTTAAAACCTGTCTTCTCCATCCTAATGCCTCACGCCTCTTTTTTTACGTGACGGAACTTGGAAGAAAAGCAATGAACAGTCGGATAGAGAAACGTTCGCAGAATAGGGCAGCTCACCAGATTCGCTCTGGCAAATACGACGGGGAGCCCAAAGGCCGAGACGACGACGCCCGTCGTGAGGAATATGGCGAGCTCCTTGCAGGCGCTGCTCATGGCGTCCGTGTCGTCCACCAGTCTCCTGGCTACGCAGTACGGGATGGGGGAAAGGACGTAAAAGAAGAGGACGAAGAGGGGCCAGTATTCGCTGGAAAAGAAAGAGGGGTCAATGCAGGTCTCGTCGGCCACGACCCTTCCCAACACACGAACTACGCTCTTGTTTAAAGACCAAAGGACAGCGACAGGGTGTCAACCGGGCTGCAGCTGAGAACAAAGCCACCAGCTCATGTGGGAATTTCAGAGTCAATTTACCCCTGTATTCCATTATGGCGCACTATTGAAAAGGTCTGCTGACAAAATGCTTTATGAAAGAATGGCCGAAATGTAAAACAAAAAAAACAAAAACAAAAACAAAAACAAAAACAAAAAAAAACCCAAAAAAAAACAACAAAAAAACCCCACTCCACTTTAGCTTAATAAGGAGGCATATTGAAAATAAGAATATTTACACAGAAACTTTTAAAATTAAAGGTCCATGCCTTTGACATCGTACCTCATCATAATGTTAAAACACCCATGCTTCCTTTAATTGAAACCAAATTACAGGGCTGAAAACAATACTGTAAAACATGGTTTTTAGTTCGCTGTTAACCAGGCTGTGCTGATTTCATTCTCTGACTTTGGGAACTGCAGTGGGGGGAAGCTGTGTGAAGGGGACAGACAACTCCTTCCACCTCTTTGTCATGTTCTAACAGCATATTAAAAAAAATTACAAGAAACAAATGGTCTTTAAACTTGACAAGCTTAACCACACACACAGTGGAGATCTGCTGGAACTATCTGTTAGAGTTTCTTCTTTTGAAAAAGATTTATTTTTATGTATTTTGCATGAATATGGGCATTCAATACCCAAGAGGCCAGGAGAGGGTGTCATATCCCCTGGAACTGGAGTTACAGAGGGTTGGGAGGCATCATGTGGGTGTTGGGAACCGAACCCGGGTCCTCTGGAAGAGCAGCCAGTTCTCTTAAGCCCTGAGCCGTCTCTCCAGCCTGTTGTCTTTTTCTTAATCTTTCCCTAAGCATTTTTAGAGGGCAAAATTTTTTAAGGGGAATATATGCTTAAGAAAAAAAAACTCAAACAATACAGAAATACAAAAAAATTAAGACCAGAAGCTTTTCCAACCCCCTTTTTTTTTTCTTTTAAAATCTTTCTAAGGAGCTTGTGAACTCTCTACAATCCATACAAATTTAACCAAGGTAAAACTATATAATAGCATTTACAGATTTACAGCCCTTCCTCATTCCTTAAGGTAAATTAATATTGTCATTCAAGGATCCATGATAATTTGTTTTTGGGTATGTGTATGTTTGTATGGGCGCGTTAGTGTGTGTGCATGGGTGTGCATGGGTGCTGGCATGACGGTCAGGGAACGACCTTGGCATGTGTATGCTTGTATGGACGTGTTAGTGTGTGTGCATGGGTGTGCATGGGTGCTGGCATGAAGGTCAGGGAATGACCTTGGGCACTGTTCCTCCCCAGGCACTGTCCACTTCTATTTGAGACAGGGTCTCTCCCTGGCCTGGGGCCTGCCAATCAGGCCAGGCTGTCCCCACCTCCCTGGCACTGGGAATACAAACACAGAACACCATGCTCTGCTTTGGCACATGGGTTTGGAAATCAGTCCTCACACTTATACAACAAGCACTTTACTTTTTTACATTTTACTCTCTCCAGCCTCTGCATTTTAAGTGTGTGTGTGTGTGTGTGTGTGTGTGTGTGAATGTGGGTGCTCATGTGCCACAGTGTGTGCTCATGTGCCACAGTGTGTGGATGTCAGAGAACAATCTTGGGTGTGAATTCTTACCTACCACATGGTCTGAGACAGGGTCTCTGTTTGCTGTGTGTATACCAGGCTATCTTGACCTGCAAAGCTTACAGAGTCCGTCTCATCGAGGAACACTGGGGTTACAGACACGTGCTACTACACTCAGCTGTTACATGGGTTCTGGGGATTTGAACTCGGGTCCTCACATTTCTGCTGCAAGGGCTCCATCCACTATACCACTTCTCTCACCCCATAATTTAGCTTTGGATGGGCATTTGTGATGTCACCAGTTTTCCATTTCTGCTATTATAGGCATGGCTGCTGTGAACAGCAATATTCTTAGCCAACTACCTTTGCAAATGTTTGCAAGTGGATTTGTATGAAGATTTCTAAGAAGGGGGGGCCAGTTCCATGAACTACAAGATACAGGCAAACTAGTTCCAAGAAATAGCAACTACTCACTTCCTAAACCCCTGCCCGACTTAGTCCCTGCGGGTACCTAGCAGCGCCTGTCCGCCCGCACCCTTTATCTCCACCAATAGAGCTCCTGTAGTGTTGAGTGGGATTTAGGATGTTTTCATGTGCTTGTCAGCGACACAATCCCCTCTCCGTGTCTGTGGTCCACTTCTACTTATTTGTATTTTTAAAACTAAGTTAATTAAATATTAATTTTAAAAGTTTTCTCAACTGGACATGGTGACGAATACCTGGAATCCTGGAACTTGGGAGACTGGGGCAGGCTGACTGTGAGTGAGGCCAGCCCGGGCTATGCAGTGAGACAATGTCTCAACAGAAAGAAGTTCTTTCTATCCTAGGGAAAGGAATTACCTACACGTGTCTTCAGTCGGCTGTGTTCAGAAGCCGCCTATGTTATTTTCTGTAATAAGATGTTTTAGATTTTGTTGGAGTATTATTGATGGGCAGTAGGGCTGACCTGCTGTCACCAGGCCATTACAGAAGCAGGTCATGGCCAAAAATCTCTCTGCCCTGGCATTCTAGTATCTTTACAGTGATGCTTTTCAGAAGAGGATTGGGTTTGGTAAATGAACATTTCCCGGCATTACTTGTATAGTAGAAAACAAAGCATGCTAAAAACTTTAAAAGCAGGAGAATTTTACTCTTACACACTGAAAGAGGAAAAACAAAACCATTACGTACTTGTATATTGGAAGGGCACATCCAAGCATCAAAAACATCAGCCCGATTGCTCCTCCAAACGACAAGCTAATTAGAGCTGTAAAGAGACAAAAACCCAGAGAGCGTGATCAGTTAGAGTATGGTTCACCCCGTCAGTCCGAGTACCACATGGACCCCAGAAGCGAAACACACTCTGCCTCCCCTCTAAATTCGGGCTGCTAAAAGTGAACCATGACACACTGGGAGGAGTGGCTCATGCCTGGTAATCTCGGAGGCAGGAGGATTATAAAGGTCAGCTTGAGCTACATCTCGATCTCAAAAAAACCGAAACAAAATGTGAACTGTCTTCGAAACTGCCAATTACATAGTTTCAGAACAAGCTTCTCTGGCATCCTCAAAACAAAACAAAAGTGTTAGACGTTGAGCACCCTCCTTAACCCTTTGAAAGGCTCTGAAATCTGGAACGTCAGTCAGGCCCGGCGACAAGGGACTTTCATCCCATCTCTAGGGAGGTAGAGGGAGGTGGAACTCTGGTCTACATACAGGGATACAAAGTGAAACCCTGTCTCAAACAAGCCCCCCCCCCCCATTGTGTACATTCAAATATTACCAAATCAGGGGAAATCCAAGAGCTGAAACACATTTGGTTCCAAAAACGCCCAATAAGGAATACTTAACCCGTATATCAGTTTAGACCTACTGCTAACACATACCATACACCCCAATTACCAGTTCCATTTCTCAGGACCATTAAGGCACAAAGAGTTAATGCGCGCCCCCCCCCCCCAACATTTTATTCAATCCACACATGAGCGAAGCACTTGCCACACAAGACCGATGCCACACAAGACCGATGACCCAAGGTCAATTCCTGGAATCCACCGAGAAGTGGAAGGAGAAAAATCAACTCGATAAAGTTGCCCTCTGACCTCCACAGGCACTGCACACACTAAGGAAGGAGGGAGGGAGGGGAGCCAGGCATAAAAGCCTCAGCAAAACAGAAACACAAAGGGAGGGGGGGGCACAAAGGGGGGGAGGGAGGGAGGGAGCCAGGCATAAAAGCCTCACCAAAACAGAAACACAAAGGGAAGGGGGGGGGCACGAAGAGGGGGAGGGAGGGAGGGCGGAGAAAGCCTCAGCAAAACAGAAACACAAAGGGAAGGGGGGGGGCACGAAGGGGGGGAGGGAGGGAGGGAGGAGAAAGCCTCAGCAAAACAGAAACACGAAAGTCCACACAAAGGGAAGGGGGGGGGGCGGGGAAGGAGGGACGGAGGGAAGAGCCTCACCTGAACAGAAATAAAAAAAGCACAGAACTGAAAGATAAATTGTCCAAGGGTATGTGTGGTTAATTTATGATGATGTGGTTTTCCTTTTTCATTATTTTTAGACAGGGGCTCACTGTACAGCCCTGACTGGCCTGGACTTTGCTATGTAGACCAGGCTGTCCTCAAACTCACAGGTATCCACCTGCCTCTGCCTCTTAAGTGTTGTTATTGTTATTTTTTTTTAAGGAAGTGAAAGAGTTACTGTATAGACTTCACAGTAACAACTTGTCTACAGTTAATTATTGTAATCAATTTTGTTAGTCTTTTTAAAATACCTGACTTTAAGTTTTTCTAAACAATGTATTTTTTTTTTTTTCTAAACAATGTATTTATTTTTATTTTATGTGTTTTGCCTGCATGTGCATCTGTAAGGGCATTGGATCCCCTGGAACTGGAGTTACAGACAGTTGTGAGCTGCCATGTAGATGCTGGAAATTGAAACCAGGTCCTCTGGAAGAGTAATCAGTGCTCCCAACCGCTGAGCCATCTCTCCAGCCCCAATTTTGTTAGTCTTTAAACATGTTACAGAAGCACAGTTGTTTTGTTCCCAATTTCCCAAATCCTAGGAAATCTGTAGGTAACAGTCCAGCCTGACGTGGACGTGGTACCACCGTCTTAGCACAGAAGGAGGTGGATGCGTCCCATAGTCAGATACACTTCTGAAGCTCCCCACACATGGCTGGTGTATTTTAAAGTGAGCAACGACTTTATTATATATAATCAACGACCTAGATTTCAACCAAGAGAAAAACAATCTATTTAACTTGTATATTGCCTGCATTTCTGCATCCCCAATGCTAAGAAAACGACTTGGTAAGATTACATTTCTTATTTGGATTTATTTATTTCCTGTGTGTCCTTGTGCAGGGCAGAGGGCGACTTGCAGGGCTGTTCTTTTTTCCCACCACATGGGTTCTGGGGACTGAACTCGGTCATCAGGTTTAGAGGCAAGCACTCTTTCTTACATGTGAAACCATCTCACAGGCCCAGAGAGTAACTTTTTAAAAACCGGTATGGTCGGGGCTAGAGAGATGGCTCAGAGATTAAGAGCACTGACTGCTCTTCCAGAAGCCCTGAGTTCAATTCCCAGCAACTCACAACCATCTATAATAAGATCTGGTCCCCCAAAAAGCCCACAAAAACTGGTATGGTCTAACCTTAACACAAAAGTTAAAATCCAAAAGCTAAGTGAAAATCTAAAATTTCCCAAGTAAAAAAACTACAGCATACAAATGAAAACTAGTGGCAAGGGGTCAGACACCACTTAATACTATGGACAAGATGGCCGTTGACATTGTCTTGGCCAACTGGGAGTTGGCTGGGATGCTGAATACAACATGAGTCAGGTTGCCATGACACAGTGTACTCAGTTATTAACGTCATTATATTTTATATTTCCAGTGACTGTGGGGGAAAGGCAAAGAAATGTTTGCGTTGTTTTAAACAGAAACAGCCTTTCAGGTTTACAGGGAATGCAGTAACTACAGGAGAACCCCGAGTTCCCCTTTTGCCCCTCATGGACCTGTCTACAGTCCCTGCCTGGATCACACAGGCGGTCATGTCCTCTTGGCTTCTTAGACCACTCTTTCCTATTCTGGAAACCGGTGGCTACTTCACCTACAAGACCTCTGTGCATGTTTAGCGTCCTACCTCAGAGTTTTCTTTCATTCAGGAAATCGTGACTGATGTCAATCAAGCATACATCGGGATCTCCCTGGCTCCCGTAAGCCCCCGGAGCCCGTGTTCCTGACCCACTCTGTCTCTCTTCTAGCTCATTACTGCTTTTCCTTCACATCTCATCTCAAGCATCTCAAAGCTGCACCAACTCTGCTACTGTATTTATGACTTATTGGTTTACGGAGGGGCTAGGGACCAGCTCCATGGTACAGTGCTTGCCTGGTGTACACAAGGCTCTGGATTCAACCTCCAAGGACTGCTGCGTGAATAAACAACACTCATTTACTCATACAACAAACACACGTAGCACTCAATTGTGCCACATGTCCCTGCTACTGAAGACATAGCAACGAGGCAGGAGGAAAAATGCTTTCACTTTCATGATGCATACATTCTAGTGGGAGAATTAAGCAGGCTTTTAAATCATCCCGATTTACTGACTGGGTGCTATCGTGTGCACATGCTGATGAGCCACCTGGCCAGCCCATAAAATAATAAATGACCGAGTGCAGTGGTGCACTCTGGTAATCCCTGCCTTGGGAGGTGGAAGCAGGAGGGAGCGGGAGTTTAAGGCCAGCTTTGATTATATACCGAGTTGGAGTTTAGGGCCAGCCTGGGCTACTTGAAACCCTACCTCAAAAATGACTAAATCAATAAACAAGCAAACAATGAGTCTGCATCGATTTTATGGCTGCCGAGTCTGCCTTCTCACCTCCGCATTTTCACTTCCTTAACTGTTTTGTCCTCTGAACAGGATTATGCGTCCACGGGCATATTTATTGCAAAACGGGAGCCCTCTGAAGATGAATTTCTGTTCTATTGATCTTTGTATCCTCAGGGTTTTGTGTAGTGGCTGGCATACAGTGGGCACTCGGTGAACACCTAACAAGGGATTAAGGAGAAAGTGAGAAACAACCGTTCTGTTTGCTGAGCAAACATGAATTCTGGAAGCAGCGAAAGATTTAGAAAACAAATGGCCAGAGATGAGTAGAAGCAGGCAGGGGACGGGTGGGCACGCAGGTGGCCTGAGAAGGCATGTCTGACGAGCCAGCAACTGGGCAGAGTCAAGGGAAGACGTCAGAGGTGCAGGTGTGTGCCGGGGCCTTCAACTGCATGTGGGCCCCTGCTCGGTCACCACAGCTGCGATTCCAAACCGAGTCCTGTCATCTTTCCTTCCCAAGTGTTCCTCTTCTGTTTCTGACACCACGGCCCAGCTTTAACACTCAGTAACAACTGCGGAATGAACGTAGCCAGTGGAGCACAGAACAGGGGAGGGAGAAGGTCAACACCACGGTGTCCTGGCCTCTGCTGGCCACTAGCTGGGTACCTCAATAACTTATCTAACTCGGTTCTTCTTTCTAGAAATGAGAAGGACTGTATAGAAAAAGCAAGTGAGTCCCTAAACACTAAAGAGACTATTCTGAAGAAAGACATTCTGAAGAAAAACCACCTCTACTCTCTGAAATGGCAGCTACCAAATAGCTAAGCACACCACTGTAAATACTGTATGGAAGACAGAGAATGTATCCAGAAGTCATTTGGGATAACCTGTTCTACTGGAGGAAGCAAACATCAGAGTTCAAGTTGATCGATAGACCACACAGCAAGCTTCAGGCTAGCCTGGGCTACATGAGACACCAACTAACCAACTAGTCGACAAACAAACCACCACCATGACCATCACCAAAAACCCCACCGTTTAAAACACCAAACAAAATCTAAAGCTAGGTATGGTGATCCACACTAGGCACTCGGCAGGGTGCGGCAGGAGGACTGAGGTTGAGGACAGCCTGTGCTACATAATTAGTCCCAGGCCACGGCGGCCTACACATCAAAGTGCTCTAAGGAAAGGAAAAGAAAAAGGGTCACCCATGCTTAGTTCTGGTTTTTTTTTGTTTGTTTGTTTTTCGAGACAGGGTTTCTCTGTGTAGTTTTGGTGCCTGTCCTGGATCTCGCTCTGTAGACCAGGCTGGCCTCGAACTCACAAAGATCCGCCTGGGTCTGCCTCCGGAGTGCTGGGACTAAAGGCGTGAACGACCACCGCCTGGCTAGTTCCATTTCTTTTCTTTTTTTTTTTTTTTTTTGGTTTTTCGAGACAGGGTTTCTCTGTGTAGCTTTGCGCCTTTCCTGGAACTCACTTGGTAGCCCAGGCTGGCCTCGAACTCACAGAGATCCGCCTGGCTCTGCCATTTCTTAAGAGTTGGTGTGCTCAGAACCAAAGTTAGAGCCTAGAAATGTTTCCTTTCCCACAGAAATTACTGTTACTTGTGTCTTAGGATGTGAAACTTTCTAAGTCTGATGTTCTGTTTCCCACATTGAAACAAGTTAGAAGTAGATGAAAGACTTGCATGCCTTCAACAACTGCCCCCCTACAGGAGACAGGGGAAACATTGTAAGTCAGACAGTCTGTCTTTAGAAAGTGTGTTTACAGTCATCTGAGCAAGAGGAAGCCCCAGGGCCTTAATGTGTCTGAGGTTAGCTCTACTCTGTCACAAAGAATACACATTTAGATTCTTTTTTAAAAAAAATATTTTTTAGCTGGGTGGTAGTGACATAGGCCTTTAATTCCAGCACTTGGAAGCAGAGGCAGGTGGATCTCTGGAAGTTCAAGGCCAGCCTGGTTTATACAGCTAGTTCCAGGGCAGCCAGGGCTACACAGAGAAAAACTGTGGGAGGCCAGCTCCTACCTTTTAAAGGGTTCCTAAGAGGAGGAGAGAGAAATAAGAAGTTTGTAGAGAGAAAGACAGCAGAGAGGAGACAGATATAAACACAGGATAGCTTCGGGAGGACCTGGATCAAAATGCACCGGACCCTTCTGTCTCTTCAAAAGGGCTTTTTTATAACAATGCCAAGGGGCGGGGCAAAAGACCTCCCCCTTGCTAGACCAAAGCATAGCAAACCAAATGCAGACCCTTCCAAACACCTGGTAACCATGCTGGTGGGCCAATCATTCTCCTATGCAGCTCTGCTGGGTAAAGAAAGCTCAGATCTCACTAGGAAACCTCTGTGGGTCTCCACAAAAAAACCAAACCAAACAAACAGAAGTTTAAGTGTACAAGTGTTTTGCCTATATGTATGCATGTACACACACACACACACACATATATATATATATATACACCATGTGTATGCCTGTGTGGGAAGACACTGGAAGAGAGTGCTGGATCCCCGGAGCTGGAGTTACAGTTTTTTTTTTGTTCATTGGTGTTTTACCTGCGTGTATGTCTGTGTGAGGATGTCAGAGGCCCTGGAACTGGAGTTACAGACAGGTGTGAACTGCCATGTGGGTGCTGGGAATTGAACACGGGCCCTCTGGAAGACCAGCCACACAGGGAAACCCTGTCTCGAAAACCCAATAAACAAACAAACAAATAAAAAAAATTAACCCCCCCCCCCAAAAAAAAATAAAAACAGGGCTGGACATGGTGGCACATATCTTTAATCCCAGCACTCTGGAGGCAGAGGCAGAGGCAGGTGGACCTGTGAGTTGAGGCCAGAATGGTCTACAGAGTGTTCCAGGACAGCCAGAGCTACACAGAGAAACCCTGTCTTGGAAAAAACAGAACACCACCCCCCCCGCCCCAGAAAAAAAAACTAAAATAAAATAAAGCTGAGTTTAATGAAGAGAAAAGGAAAGAGCCAACGAGCAGCTTATTCGTGTTGTAGCAGGTGCCCATGACCCTAGGAAAAAGGCTGAGGCTGTGGGTTCCAGGTCAGTCTGGACTACATAATTTCTCAAGAAAGCAAATACACAAAACTTTAAAGACTTTATTTAAAAAAAAAAAAACCAAAAGATAAGTTTCCAGCACTGAAACACATTTAAAACACAAGCTCCTACTACTGATACTATATGAATACTGTAAGAAAATTATTTCAAAATTTTTGAATTAAAGTAAATAATTCAAAATACTTACTTTAGTATGGGTGTGTTTGTGTTTGTGCCAGTGAGGTGCCTACTGGGCTGGAGTTACCAGGCTTTTGTGAACTACTGGGTGGGGGTGCTCCGTTCTGAACTCAGCTCTTCTGTTAGAGCAGTAAGCACTCTTAACTGCTGAGCCATCTCTCCAGCCCATAAAATTACTGATGCATTTACTTATACAGGATCCAACTCCTTTTCAACACTCACATATGAAAAAGCAAGTCCCGTGGAACTGTTTGGGGAATCAAGATACTCTAGGGTCATATTTCTATGCATTCAATATTCAATATTTAAAAGATGTTCAAATGCAACTGTAGGAGACCAGCCCCCACATTTATCTACCCCAGGGACGCTTGAGGAATGAAGGATAAGAGACTTAGTTAGAAATAAAGAGGGGAGAGAAACAGAGAGAAACGCTGGATCCTTATCCACCGGCCCAGAGCTTGATTCCAAAGGTCTATTTATAACAATGACAAGGGGTGGAGCAACCTCCCCCTTGCTAGTTACAGTCAAGTGTAGACCCTTACAAACACCTGGTACCCAGGCCCGTGGTCCAATCAACCTCTTATGCAGTCCTGCTGGGTACAGCCACTAGGAAACCTAAGTGAGCTCCAACATACAACTGCATGTGACATCTCATCTCTTAAGTCATTACAGATAAAGGCTGATTAAACAAACTGCTCCAAAGTGCTCCCCAAACCAGTAATGTTTCTTCAGTCTTATGACACTGGCAACCAGGTGGCTTATTTTATATAAATGCTGTCCTCCGGTGACACACCAGTAAGGTAAGAACTCATACAGTAACTGAGTGATGCAACATCTGAAAGATGAAACAGGAGTGTGGTTTCTACTCCCAAAGCCTCGAGGCCAGGGATGGAACAGCCCAATTACCTAGCAAAAATTCTCCAGAGACAAGATGATATGGTTCTATGATTCCAAAGACATAGGTGAAAGGGTCAAGTTCCCCAGGTTGGGAGTTAGCAGAAAATACAATTTATCACATTATAACAGGCAACCCGCTTAAGAAATATGCGATGGTCTCTACAGCTACACTCCTTGATATAAGGGCAATACAAAGGCCAACAGAAAGAAAAATCTTGATGGACAATCATAACTTTTTTTTTTTTTTTTTTTTTTTTTTTTTTGGTTTTTCGAGACAGGGTTTCTCTGTGTAGCTTTGCGCCTTTTCCTGGAACTCACTTGGTAGCCCAGGCTGGCCTCGAACTCACAGAGATCCGCCTGGCTCTGCCTCCCAAGTGCTGGGATTAAAGGCGTGCGCCACCACCGCCCAGCATGACAATCATAACTTTAAAACCCATGGAAATCTTTAAAAAGTAAGTAAAATTCCGTCGGACTCACTGTCACCAGATTAACATTACCCACATTTGGAGAATCACAAAGCTATTTTCTTGCTAAAAGAGTCCCTCATTAACGACACTGAAGAATTGGGAAGAGGGACAGGGGCAACATCCTAAAAACAGCAGCATTTTACAATAACTTCCGTTCACATTAGGATTCGAAAGGGTCTATTACAGTTCAAAAAGAGATCTGAAAGTATCCTAGCTGCTCAGATGACGAGGCTCTGTATGGGAAACAAAACGTTTTTCAGAATAAACAAGATACGAGAAAAAGTGTGACCCTGGGAAAAAGCTCAACCAAAGTCGCCCCTTCCAGCGAGGTGGGAGGCATCCCTAGCCAAATGTTTACTTCCTGCTCGGCGACACTCTTCCACAATGCAGGTCAAGAAATCAAAGCGATCTGCTGATAAGTAAACAGAAAACTTTCCTTCTAACCCCTGGGGCAAGACTACCGAGCAACATTCCCTCTCTCCAAAGAATGCAATGAACAAGTGAACTTTCATCAAGGTGTTAAGTTACCTTATCTTTAAACACACACAAAACTACAGAAGTGTCAACGTGCAAATTAACTGTGGGGAAAGGAAGCCAGGAGCACGCACTTTGGGCTAGCATCCGGGCTCTGCTGCACGGTACAAACACCGAATTATCAAGATGCATCCGATGTAGAGGCAAGGAAGGGAAAGATGGTGCACCGGGATCCCGGGAGTGGATGCAGACAAGAACCCAGGCTTCGGAGGGGACCGCGCTCGTGCCTCGGGTGGGGAAACTACACCGATTTGCCGGGCCGGGCATCCCTCCGGATCGCAGCCCTCCATGGCTCCGGGTGCAAACTCGCGCACAGCGCTCGGGTGGCCGGCCGGGCTGCCCGGCTCTGCTCTGGTCCAGGAGCGGAGCGCGCCGGCTGGAGGAGCCGAGGCTGGGTCGTCCCCACGCCGCCCTCGCCCTAACCCCCGCGCCCGCCTCCCCGGGGGCCCCCGCGGCCCGCGCCCCAGGCCCACCTTTGATGCCCGCCATGGCGGTGACGTCGCTCCTGGCTCCACGACCCGGGCGGTGGCCGGGAGACCCGAGACGCGCGACGGCGGCCAGACAACACCCGGAAGTGCACGACGCAGCACTTCCGCCGGCGGCTCGCGCTCGCGCGGGGGCGTGGGGGGCGCGCGGGGCCGGTTCGGGGGCCCGCCTTCCTTGGGCGCCGCGGGACCGGCTGCGGCGTGCCGGGAGGGCCGGTCGGTGGGTCCCATCAGGCCTGGGAGACAGCGCCCGCGGTGCCATGAAGACGCCGGGCGATGTCTTTGCAGGGGATCACGTTCTGCACGGTTCTGCACGGCGAGCCCGTTTCTCCCCACCACCAGCCCGTCTCTGACTCGGGAAATGGGTGGTCTCTGCCTCTCTCCTTGGGTTCCTACATAGGTGGGGGCTCTGATGAGAACCATCCCTCCCTCCCCCCGATTTGGGCGCCGCGGGCCGAGTCATGGAATGGGGGGCGATCGTTGACAGATGCATCCTCTTGGAAGTCTGTGAAGATCGCTCTCTTCTTGGTGACAAAAGGGGTGGGGAGCGGGGGCGCCCCGCAGAGATCCAGTGTATCTTCGTATGCTCCCCACATATATATATATATGCTGGGGGAGCCGGGTAGGCATTGGGATGAGCAAAGCCAGGTGTGGTTTCTGCTCTCGGGTTGTTTGCAGACTAAGAAGGGAGAATACTCAAAATAAATAAAAGTGCAACGAAGATAATCGCTAGTAAGAAGAATCTCCACTCCAAAATATACCACTGTGGCATAAAAGGTCACTTTAGCTGAAATAAAAAAAAGAAGACGACGACACATGGAGGAACTGGCTGCTCACTTTTCTGTACGAAAGCAGAGCATAAGTTTCTCCCTGTAAAGGTAACAGGAACTTCCCCGTGTTACATAAAAAAGATATTTGCAACACAAATTTTCCCATTTGTAAATATTTTCATTTCTGAGGAAGAGACAGCTGTCTCTATAAGCAGCACCAATTGGAGTCTGCAGAAATGTTACAAAAATAGCCTTTATTAGTTGGTTTCCCCCTGCAAGCCCACACTTCTCTCATTTAGTCATTTCTCCTTTGTTAAAATGCGGTCTAGGCTCCCAGACCCAGCCAATTGGGTTTTCCCTTCTTTGGAACCTTGCTAGGCCGGTGAAGTACACTTTTCCCTTTAAATCTGCCTTACGGCTGCTTACTATGCAGGTCTCAGCTGTCAAAGCTAATTAAGAAGGCAGAGGAAACCTTTATCCTAGGAATATCCAGGAAGTAGGCAAGGATAGTCCCTTGGTTTGATCTGACATTTCTCTTAATGGAAACACAAGGTTGGTTGGTGTGTGTCTTGGGTGTGTGGAATAGGTGGGGCGTGCACTTTGCCAACAAATGGTACAGGGAGCTTGGAAAGTTGGGGAGAGGAGGAGCCATTGGGTTGATCAGGGTTGTGGTAGTGCCTGTCTAGGAACTCCTGGAATTTGTACCTGCACAGACTGAAAGGCAGTCACCCTATAAATTTCATTGGGGAGAACTGAAACTGGGAGGCAGGAGCACCTGGGCATATTAAAATCATATCAGGGAAACCAGGTCCAGGAATTTATGGGACAGAAAAGATTGTGGAAAGAGTATAACTCTGGCCTGAACCCATAAAGTGTTGGCTACTTAACACTGTGATTGTGGAAAGAGAATAACTCTGGCCTGACCCCCATAAAGTGTTGGATAATTATCACTGCAATGACCTGGCTCTATCGAAGCCTATCATAGCATACTTGGTGTATATGTCAAGGTCCAAGGACTTCCTGACTCTGTTCCCCACTGTTGACCCAGCCTACTCCACTGTCTGCCTGTCTGCCTATTCATCTGTTGGGCCTGATCCTCCATTCCCTGTTCTCGTCCCAGCTGGGCTTGTTCACATTGCAGATGATTTCTGCGGCTTCTTTCTCGACCCCGACTTCCACCAGCACTGGTCTGTCCCGTTTCTTAGCAATACAAACGCGGTTTGCTCCTGAACCTCTTGAGCTCTACTTCAGTCTCTTTAACATGTCTTCATTCTGTAACCCATGCATATGTAGAGAGACACATCAGTGTATGACCGTATGCTGTATGAGTTAATGTTAGTCATTAAGATTGGAATAAAGAACTTGATTTCACCTAGTCCAAGGTATCAAAGTAGGCAGATTTTATGGCAAACTACTGCCATTGAAATCACTAAACTTAGGTTGGAGAGATAGCTGAGTGGTTAAGAGCACTGACTGCTCTTCCTGAGGACCCAGGTTCAATTCCCAGAACCCACATGGGTGGCTCACAACTGTCTGTGACTCCAGTTCCAGGGAATCCGACATACATGCAGGCAAAACATCAGTGCACACGAAACAACAAATGAATCATTAAAAAAAAAAGAGAACACTAAACTTTGTGAATGTATTAATAATTCAATAAATTCTGACTTTTCCACATTTTTGAAAGACCCGAAAGTGCTCATCTATGTTTCTGGCATTGTGCACTCCGGACCTAAACTTGTGAAGTCCCTGATCCCATTTCCAATGTCACTACTACACCTGCTCTCCTTTTCTTCCGTGGCGTTGTGTCTTCGAAAGCAGGCATGGTTGTGTGCACGTTGCTGGTCAGTGGTGATGACTGTGGTTGGAAAGTGAGAGAGGTTCACGTGGAAGGCTTGTAGCTTGGCTCCGAGGAAATGCATTTACAAAGTACTTTGTGGGGTAGCTTCCGGAAGCTCCTGCGCTTAAATTGTATTCCCTAATTTATTTCGAATACAAAAGGACGGAGTATTAGATGTCTTTAACGACATCACAGGGAGAGTCAGACTGCTTATGCGGTCAGAGGGTTCTATCTGCTTTTGCTCCCACAGTCACAGAATTAATATTCTCCCTAACCACGTCCCCTCTTCCATATAGTTTTTCTTCATTTTATTATGAAGTACATTCCAGATATACTTCATCGTGTGTGTGTGTGTGTGTGTGTGTGTGTGAGAGAGAGAGAGAGAGAGAGAGACAGAGACAGAGAGAGAGAGAGACAGAGAGACAGAGAGAGACAGAGAGAGAGAGAGAGAAGAATGGTTGATTTACAACTGGTGAGTGAGAATTTTCTAACACTATGTGGGATTTCTGGCACCTGAAGTACAGGGTAGCTGTATATCCTTAGTCCTGAACTGATGAGTTCTGACTCCACCTCCCAGCAGACCTATCAGAACTGAAATGACGTTTAGGACAGCAGAGTGGTGTCCAGTTGAGAACTGTTGGCTGCGTAGACAGATTCTTCCATAACACACTAGGTCACAGAAATGTTCTACCCTGTGCCAGTGGAGAGGAGGAAAAGTACCCCTCCCTCCCCAGCTCCACCTGGCTTCTAAGAGGATCTTATCTAACAATTCTCTTTATTATGGCAATACCCAGCACATCAGCTGCTTTCTTCCTCAGGGCACCCATTATTTATTTGGCTGCTTTCCCATTAGAATATAAATTAGGACACCCTTTCATGTTTTAAAATCGCAGTCTAGAACTAGAGAGGGTACATAATGGGGGCTCAAATAGCAGAAGTTTTCCCGTAAAGGCAATTAGGTGAGTCTACACTGCAAAACCCCAAAGGCACTTTTCCTCTTACTTCAATTTTCCAGCAATAGTGGCCATTATTGACCATTTTCTCTTCCAGCTACCATATTGCTACTTCCCCTTTTTGTTTTCTTCCTTCACACTGTGTGTGTGTGTGTGTGTGTGTGTGTGTGTGTGTGTGTGTGTGTGTAGTGGGTATGGAGAGGCATACCGTGCAGAGGTCAGAGGACAGCTTTACGTGCGTTTCTCCTTTCACTTTGATATGGTGTCCTGGCTTTCTTTTTTATGGCTGTGATTATAATATTCTGACCCAAAGCAACTTGAGCAGGACAAAGTTTATTTTATCTCATAGCTCACAGTTCCCCACTGAGGGAAGTCAGGGCAGGAACCTGAAGGCAAGAACTGAAGCAGAGGCCGTGGAGGAACACTGCTGACTGGCTGGATCTCCAATGGCTTGTTCAGCCTGCTTTCTTAGACAACCCAGGACCTCCCCCAGGGAACTAGGCCCTCCCACATCAAGAAAATGTTCCTACAGATTTGCCTCCAGGCCAATCTGATGGGGTTCCCTCTTCCCAGATGACTCTAGCTTGTGTTGACAAAAAGAAAAAAACACCCCCAAAAAACCCAAAACAAACAAACAAACAAAAAACCAAACAAACCACAAAACAAAAACAAAAACAAAAACAAACAAACAAAACCCACCATATAGGTGTCAGGGATCCAACTCCAGACTTGTTGGCGAGGGCCTCTATCCGTTGAACCACTTCCCTGTTCTGCTTGCTTCCTTTCTTTACCAGAGATTATTTTTGAGGTTATTTCTAGGATCGTCTACTCAAGATAGAAACAGCAATTCTCTCAGAGCTTGGGCCTTCCCGCCTTCTTTGCCTTGTCTAAATTTTACGACTACCTGTCTCTTTCTATATTAGTAACATAACCAGACTTACATTCGCTTTGAACTCTGGGTGTGGCTATCTTTTGTCTACTTGGTCTTCCTGCTTGGATGCTTAACACTCAGCTCAGATTCAACCAATTAAGGCAGCGATGAAGGAGCTGGGCACCTATCTGCAGGGGCTGGGCACCCAACCGCAGAGGGTGGGCACCCCTCCGCAGGGTGAGCACTCACCAGGGTCGTTCCAGCACAGCGCAGGGCTGGCCACTAGCAGGAATGACAGCAGGCGCAACAGCGGGCGGCGCGCGGCTCTATTATCTTTGGGGTGTTTTAAGGTTGCTGGGTTCCACTCAAACCTTCTCATTTTGTTCTAATCCCCAGAAACTTACTTTGCCTTGCTGCCCTTGCCTGCCTCTCTCATGCCTCCTATTTACAATTTACAAATTTTTCACGGCATCTACACTACAGCACCCACATGGTCCGTACTGATAAATGTGTAAAATGCTCAACCTAAAAAGGCTGAGTGGATGATTGACAGTTCCTCAAAACATAGCGGGGAGGGAGGGGGGGCCAATCCACCGCGCCCCAGGCTGTTAGACCCCTGCTTTTTTTTTTTTTTTTTAAAAAAAAGGTGAGTTCTTTTCTTACCATTCACGCCTCAAGCTTCCAAGCC